TGCCGTTAGCCATATATAGACATCGGACCCCTAATCGAAACAGCACCCCGAGAGACGGCATCGAAGACGACCCACTTTGTTTTCGAGAGCTCGATTCTTCATTCCGAGACTTCTCGAGAGTAGATATGTAGTTCCGTATCCGGTAGGCAACAGGAGGCCGGAACTTGTCGGCGAACGACCTTGATCAGACGTCCATGCTCAGCATCACGAGCGTGTGTAAATAGAGAGCCAATCAGAGCCACGACTCGCCCTCAATCAGACCATAGCCACGATTCAATTTCGAACCGCAGTGATCAGTATGGGTATAGGTCTCTGCCGGGTCAAGGACCCGAGCGTGAAGCGGGACTCCGAGCCGACGAAAGTCCCTCAAGTTATCAAATTCCGACCCCGATTCTAAATGCGGCCTTGAGGGTCTTTGATCTCGATTCGGGTATGGGCTGCTCTTTTCATTGGTGGCTCGCTCCCTATTTGACATGTAACGGGGCCAAATAAACGAGACCTTGGCTCGCGATCCTCGGAAACCACGGCTCATCCGGATCTACATACAGAGACGAGCCTTATGATCCTTGTGCAAGAGGTCATCGAGTCCCCCGGGATGTCGGAAGCGTCTTAGTGGCGGGAAGTAATCGCTGTCGGGCCTTGAGGTCACTGCGTCATATGTTTAACAGCATCCGGCCTCGAGGAGTCCCCTCGAGGTGCTGCTCTAGCAGTGCCTATATATAGTTTACGTGGAATGAGGGCAGAAGTCCTCAGAATAGAACTAAGGCTATTTGTATTATATTCTGAGGTTAAGCCTTCCGCTTCAAGTGGGAGGTGGGGGTCTACCTAAACGGCAAAGCCTCGCGATAAATTTCGCTCCGTCCCCCGAGAGTTTCCTGTTCGGTCGGCTATTCGAGAAAAAAACTCCGCAAGGCAGGTGATCTTGATTCCGAGACTCCGGAGTGTAGGTCGTCCTTGATTTTTGAGTCGCGTCATAAAAATCGATTTCCGAGTTGAGATCGTTCCGAAAGGGTGTGATTCGCGCCACGGGGGCGTCCCATAGCGGTCGAGAGAAAGAATATGAAGGTGATTCATATGGTACGCCTTTCAAAGGGGAAGCGGTTCTACTGTTTCTACTTCCCACGGACGGGCTTGACCCAGTGCTCTCCATAGCTATTGAAAAAGTTTCCAACCGATTCAAGGATCAAATCGAGAAGACCATTCCGTCAGCCCGGAGCCCCTGCTGTCATGATCCCAGCCCCTCCTTCCATTGAAAGCCGAAGCACAAAGAAGGCCCGCGTCAGAAGGAATTGTTTGTTCGCCCTCCGGGCCGCTGAGTCGTCCGAGCTCCCGAGGCATCCTCGAGAAACATATTGATGCTTCCTTCGAAAAACAGAACCGATGCTATCACAATCAAGGACGAACGAATTGCGACCGCAGAACAGGCCCACGCGCAGCTCTTCCACTTCGTGTCGCGAGCTAGCGGGTACCCATCCACCCTTGGAGAAACTCTGGATCTCTGTATGATCGTCAGATATTCTGGTAGAGAATATATTCCCCGTCGAAACTCAGCCTATTCGCCTCGAGCAATGATTGTTACATCATAGGGGCACCGGCGGCCGATGGGCGAGCTTTCCGGCGAAGCAATCACAAGGAGTTCGAGAAAAATGCCGAGCTGCTGTGTTTCTACACGAGGCGTTTCGGATCCCATCGGGGAAGGTGGGACGTTCCTGAACCTACAGAACTAAACTTCGAGTAGCGATGATGGTTGCAGCGTTTCGCTCGAAACTTTCCTAAAAAAAGTTTGCCCCACTTCGACTCGGGGCGCTTCCTGAGCACGCTGCACTCTCACGTTCTCGTTGAATAATTCTCATCGCTGCTTAGTAAGGAACATCCTGTAGTTTCTCGCTTTGTTTCGCTAAATAATTCACCAGCTTGATGGAAAAGTGCGGAACGGAATCACCCATAGCGGCGATAGGTGCTTTCAAGAATGGATTTTCTCACGACGCAGATGAGATCATGTCCCTAGAGTCGAGCATGAGAGTCGGCTCCCATCCAGCGCCGTAGAGACTCTTCAGGGCCATCTCGAACGTTCTCTAGTAGGGTCTTTCCACATTACAAGTCAGCTACGCATGCAACTCCTTATTGAAGCATGTTTTCGCAGTAACATGCTTGGCGGGGGAATCATTCCGGCGAGCGTGACACGAAGATCCTTCAAGCCGATGCTGGACGAAATGCAACCATAGCGGGGATTGGAGCATCCCGCATATCTATCTGAAATTATTGAGAGACTGACTGAGATTCCGCTTGCTAATCAGCTATGCATGTAACTCCGATGCAATGCGACGACCTCGTTCGAAACGGCCCGGTTGTTGAAACCAAATTGGCTCCCAAACTGAGCAATTGTGAGAGCTCCCGGTATTGGTTTCATCCTTCTTCATTGGTGTAGAGGTTCGACTTGCCTTGACAGACGACGAGTCTTGCCGGTTACTGACAGCAGAGTCTCCCCTTGAATTCCACTATTTGACTTTGAATACTCAGCTTCAATGGGCGGGGAGCCTCCCGTTACCATGATAAGGAGAAAACTCCATACTGACATGTTGCCGCCCACGCACACTAGAAATTCTTCAGGAAAGTTCGCTGTGCATTCGTGGCCTGTAATCCGACAGAGGGAACGTGAGGAAGTATCCCGGAAGCGAAGAGCTTCAAACAGGCCCCCTCTTCCCCTCACTAGCCATGGTATCCTCCCCGTTGACTGAGTGAGGACAAGGCTGTATGCCGGTCCGTGCCACTGAGCTTTGGACGTCGCCGCTGGTTGGGCACACGGCGGCAGGTGGCGCGACGTGACGCTACAGCGTTTTTCGAAGGTCTGCCCGACGATTCCAGTCAGTCTCCTGCACGGTCTCGAAGGACATGGTGAGAGCGGAAAGGCTCGGATCTCCCCATCACGGTTCTCGGATCTCCGAGCCGCTCGCTCGACGCAATTTCGAGGGGGAAGCCACGGTGCGTGGTAGACCGAGGCCTGAAAGCGCTTCTGATGTGATTTGTTCTGGTATCACGCTGCGGGCGAAAGTTAGAGATCAGCCGACACGCGTCACACTACAGCCTCTGGTTCGCCGTATTCGCCATGGCGGCGGCCGCTCATTTTTCGGCCCGCGATCGGCGCCGGCGCGGCGTCGGATTTCCCGCAGCGCACAGACTCAGCTGAGAAAAATGATCTGGATTCAGAACCGCTCGCTCAGAGTCCGCCGGGCTCAATGCCTCGATTTCAGATCCGGGCCCCTTCGCGATCGTTCCCGATCAGAACCTTGAATCTGAGCCTCGAGATTCCACGGGAAAAATAGCTCTTGTGAACGGGAGGCTCCCTCTCGAAGGCATCGCAACCTCTCTGACTGAGATGCGGCGAGGGCGTCCAGATCCATTTTTCCGGAATCCCGGAGGAAAGAGGGCACTCTTCGAAGGGAACTACGTGGGACAGCAGCATCTCCGGCGATACCGTTTGGGAATGTGAAACTCTCGGAACCATGTCGCGCTCCCGGCTCTCGGTCACACGCGCAGCCGATCTGACCTATCGGCGTTTCGATAAGTCTCGAAGGAGGTCTCTCGAATCTTCTTATCGATTCCAAATCAGACTTTTCGGCTTTCGCGACCAATCTCGAACCTGGTACCGACTTCAAAGACATTCCGCGCGTACTCATCGCCCTTCCAGAGTCGTCTGCTCTGAAATTAACCCGCAGATCAAAGTCGATGCGGAACAGGCCCGATGCGGAACAGGATGATTGGAAGTCCATCCGAGTTACACGGAATCGTCGGCATCGATCCGCCGTGTTCTGGACAATGGCAGTCGACCAGCACGTCATTCTCAAATTATATGCCCGTTGTGAGGTTCGTAGGAGCGGAACAGGTCGCTCCGCGCATCGATCGATCCAGGGTGCGCGAAATGGCAATTGAGCCGAGAGTCGTCAGGATAACTGAGGAGGTCAACGCTTGTTCACGATTCGATTACAACGCAATTTCGAAGCAAAACACATTCCCCGGATGATCGAACACGCGAACGGTTCCATAGCTCTTTGCTGGACTTGCAGAGGACTGATTGCGATTTTCCCTCGTTGCCCGATGTCGATCCATGAATTCGTCACTTCATGGGCTGACTACCAAACGGAGCAAGTTTGAAATAATATTCCGCGAATCCTTCTTAGGACGGTGTTGTATTTTCCCCAGCGCCCTTGGACCGTCAGCACAGCTCAGCATAGAGCTGGGACCTCATTTAGGAGACGTAGGTCTTGCTGTTTGCTCAAGGCGTGGACTGAACATGCGAAAGTACAGTGGACCGCTCTGTTTGCTCCTCCGCCTTATTCAGTTTTCCCGAGAAACGTGCCGAGTCAGACTAGGCAAGGTCAAGAATACTGGACTCCCGTCTTGGAGTTCTTGTGTCCGATCATGAAGTTGAATGAATAGACATCTCTTCGAAGAGGGGACGACCGTGCAAGTCGGTCCGGCGTCGGAAGTGTTCCTCCCAATAAAACAGAACCCATCGTTGCATTGAAGCACTCGATCCCCACCTGGGAGAAATGCCGTAATAATTCTGATAAGACGGCATGCTCTCATAGAAAGAAATGCTCCAATATTCACTAGGTAGATTTCCGGGTCCTGTGGCTGCTCTTCATTTTTCTCTTCTGTGACCTGAAGAAACAGATCGTTCAATTCCGCCCCCACTCGGAGAAGACTGTCAAAGATAGTGAAAATTCGAAACCTCCCGCGTTCGTCTCTAGATAGCTGACGAATTCGGAAATAAACAAGAAGTAGTCAGTAGCGCGAAAGATCTGCTCGTACTCATTTTCAACTCGAGAAGGAGAAAAATTCCACAGGCCGAGAGAGGTATCAAGCAGCTCTAGTTCGCCTCTATCCGATCAACAAACTACAATATGGTGCCGTGGCCAAGATCGTGAACTAAGCATTGTGAACAGTCGACTGTGGAACCCGACGAAACGACATCTCGCCCAGAAGTAACGGGACCCGAGATGGCCGAAGCGATGTCGGATGACGCGAGGAAACGCGCTTTGAAAACCCTCCGAACAAAGAGGACTGTGCGGAGGAACAAGGCCCGGGAGGATCTCGGCAGTGTAGAAGATCTACACACGGAGAATCCTGTGTTCCCGGCCGACAGACGTGCTGAGGAGTTGGTTATCATCATGACGAAGCACTTGGACCAGATTCGCGAGTTCGACCGAGAAATACTCCAGCTCTTGACGGAGACAGAGGTCGAGGCCGACGTGGAGGCCAGCGAAGAGTTCATCGTCGAGATCGAGTCCGGTATTGCCGCCATCCAGGCAGTAATCATACAGAAGTCCAACCACGAGGAGCGGGCAAGCCGGCAGGAGGAAATCGAAACCTTCTATGGAACGCCTGAAGCGGCAAGGCGCGTCCGCTTCACTCCGATGTTGAATTCGACGATGAGTGCCCCTCGGCATCTCCGAGAGGCTGGAGCGACAACCGAGAGGCCCTCGCAGCCGGCTCCACAGGCGACGGCGGCAGCCCGGGGACCACGCGCCTGGCCCGCGAGCTGGACATATCTCCGGAAGTGTTTTCTGGAGATCGACTGAAATTTCAATCCTTCATCACCCAGTTCATGTGTTTCGTGGCCAAGAGACAAGAAGCGACGCCGGTTGAGAGATTGATGGTGCTCAGGAAGTACGTTTCCGGTGCGCCAGCAAGGATAATTCATGCACTCGAGCTGACCGACGCAAATTACCAGGTCGCTCTTGATGCCCTCAAGGAAAATTACGCTCGCACGGATAACGACAAGCAGCGGATTCTATCCGAACTCAGAAACCTTCCTCGAGTTCTCCGCTATAGCGATCTGCCAGCGCTGCGAAACCTGTTGACGCTCTTGCAAACCAATATCGCAACCCTCGCCTCCAACGGGATCCCACTCGAAGAATTTGCGCTCTCTCTGCGCTCGGCGATCGAGGCCGCTCTGCCTATTCGCCTGCGGCAGGAATTCAAAGATGCTCGACGTCTCGAAAGGAGACTTCACTCGCTCTCAAGTGGAAGCCGAGAGAGTTCGATCGCCGGCGAGCAGACGGAGACGAATCCGGGCAACAACATTAGCGAAGACAACGGTAACGGTGGCTCGGTGTCGGGTGAGGCGGCGTCGGAGGTCAGAAAACTCATCCAGTTCGTCCGTGACCGGGTCCGTGATTGGGAGGATAACCTCTATTTGGACGACCGTGCGCCTGGTGCAGTGACAGAGACATCCGAAGGCCAATCGAATTTGAGGGACTTCCGACGTCGACCAAGGAGCACCGTGGCTTATCTCGCACCGGGGAGGAACGCGTCAGCTGGTCCAGGGTACCGCCCGAGGTCATGCTTGTTCTGCCGATCGGCAGAGCATAATTCGTCGAAGTGCACTGCTGACCTTACGCTCGCGAAGAGAAAGGAGATCCTAGAGGCGCAGCAGCGATGTGTGAAGTGCTTCAGACAGCGACACGCGAACGCAAGTCAGTGTCGCGGTCCCAGAGTACCGTGTTCCAGGTGCTCAACGCGACAACATTACTCGTCCATGCATCCAGCCGCCCCCGTCGTTCCGACACCTCCGCATGTGCGCACGGACGGTGGGGTCAGCGCTGTCACTGGGGCTTTCTCCGACCGAACTGTGGGTGGCGTGAGCGCCGACACCGGGGCTCTTCTTCTGACTGCCTCGGCGTACGTGATCAACGGCGGAGTCAAGATACCCATCCGGGTTTTCGTGGATCCAGGAAGCACCCTCACCGTCATGCTCCCATCGTTGCGAGCCATGCTTCGGGATGCTCCCGTCGGTATCAACAGTCTCACCATCCAGACGTTCTCATCCACCCTTGCGACGAAAGAAGTTCCATTGTACAACATGCGTATCGCTCACGTGAAAGGTGGCCCGCCGATTGAACTGCTCGCGCACGAGTACGAGTTCAATGTGGACCCGCAGAACACCTGCTCCGAGGCGGTAATGCAGACTTTGGCGAAGTTCGATCGCACAAGGCCTCTGGCCGACCGATGTTACGTTGGAGAGTGGTCTCGGATGCAACCGGCAGTTCTCCTCGGCATGAACCAAATCAACAAGATCATGACTCGCGAGGCCCAGGAGCATGTAGTCGACGACATTCTCGCATATCCTTCGAAGCTGGGATGGTTAGTAGGTGGATCGATTCCCCTTGAACAAAATCACGTTAAGGGGAAGATCACCTCCACCCAAATCGTCTGCTGTTCTTCCAAGCTGTCAAACCGCGAAGTGAAACCGCTCACTCATGCGGCGAAGGATCTCGAGACCCTGTGGAGTCTTGAAGCAATCGGAATAAATGAACCCTCCTCGAGTCCGCAACTGTCTGCTGACGACGAAGAAGCTCTCCGACAGTTCAACCAGGGAATCTCCTACGAGGATGGTCGATACTCTGTGTCCTTTCCTAAGAGACCAAGCATCTCGCAGCTTCCGAATAATCGACTGGGAGCGGAGCAACGTCTCGCGAGAAAGGTGTCTCATCTGCTGCGGGATCCGGATAAGCATCGACGGTACCATTCCGAGCTCATGAAATTCGTGGAGGAAGGGTTCGCTGTCGAGGTCCGGGACTCGGGATGTGCCCATAGTTCCGCGGTTGACGGATCGTACTTCATGCCTCATCACGAGGTCATCACATCTTCCGGCGGCAGGGACAAATGGCGTATAGTGTTCGATTGCTCCGCTAAACAAAAGGGCGCGACGTCGTTGAATGATCATTTGATACCCGGTCCAAACCTCAATCCGGATCTGGTCTCACTCCTCCTCAACTTCAGGTCGCATCCCGTCGCTCTCTCCACGGACATATCGCGCGCATACATGAGGATCGCCATCACACCTGAAGATCAGCCCCTGTTCCGGTTCATTTGGCAGGCTCCAGGCTCGAGCTCCATCAAGACATACCAGATGCGACGTGTCACGTGGGGAGCAGCCTCGTCCGGATTCCTTCTCGCAGCGACGGTCAGACATCACCTGAAGAAGGGAAATCTCGCGACACAGGAGCTTTCTAAATGCCTGTATGCCGACGATGTTCTACAGAGTTTCGAGAATATCGACCGTGCGCGCCTGTTCGTCGATACAGTCCGTGAATCGCTCAAGTCAGCTGGCATGAGCCTTGCGAAATGGAAGACTAACTCCGATCAGCTGAGGAACCATTTGCTTAGCACTGGCGTCAGGCCTGACGAGTTCGACTCGTCGAGCTCGGAGTTCTTGAAAGTTCTGGGAATCTCATGGTGTCCGTCACAGGATGTGTTTTCGTTCATCACACCTGCCTTGTTCGACGGCCCAGGACCCGAAAGTTCTCCATCTAAACGTCAAGTGCTGAGTGTTGTGGCTTCCCTCTACGACCCGCTCGGTTGGTTGACTCCATTCACCTTACGCGGTAAAAGGATAATTCAACAATTATGGTCGTCCAACCTGAATTGGAATGATGCGACTCCGGAGGTCATACGGATCGCCTTGGGCCAATGGATGTCCGAGATCAAACAGCTTCGGGACTTCAGATTCCCCCGCCGCTACTCATGTCGAAAGGACGCTCCCATCGCTCATTGGCTCCATGTTTTTGGAGACGCATCGACCATTGCGTATGCCGCCGGAGCCTACATTGAATCTCGGTTCGCGGATGGCTCATCTGAATTCGCGCTGGTCATGACGAAATCTAGACTAGCTCCACGCGATTCACCCTCGTTGCCAAGGTTGGAATTGCTGGCGTCTGTCATCGCAGTCCGTCTCAAGAAATTTCTGACGCAGCGCCTCGACCTCGAATTCGAACGCGTTCTGTTCTACACCGATTCTACCATCGCATATCACTGGGCAACGTCGTCAAATCCAGGAAGTTGGAAACTATTCGTCAGCAATAGAGTGCAAGAAATTCAGAGAGATTCTCGCCAAGAAGATTGGTTCCATCTAAGTGGCGAGCTGAATATCATTGACTTCGCTACACGCGGTGTTTCGGTTGGTGCTTTGATCGAAAACTCCGAGTGGTGGTTCGGGCCGAAATGGCTCAGGTTACCCATCGAGCAGAGACCGCTGTCCCAGCCGCAACGGAGCTCCATCAGTTTGGAATCCGTGTCTCCAGAGAGACGTCAAGTCGTCGCTCTCGCCACCGCGGCTGAGACATTCATCGACCTCGAGCGGTTCGGAACGGCCAGCAAGGCCACGAGAGTCGTCGCGTATGTTCTCCGGTTCATTCACATTGTTCGCGAGAAAGAGGTTCCAGCGAGAAAGTTGCTCTATCGTGAGGCGGAATGCATCCTCATTGGACAGACTCAGCGCCAGTTCTTACGGGAGGAGATCGAGTGTACTCGTGCCGGTGAGCGGGTCCCCAGCGCATCCAAGCTGGCTGCCTTCCAATTGTTCATCGATGACCGGGACCTTCTCCGAATAAGAACGCGTCTCGGACCGGCGCCGCATCTTACATACGACGAAAAATGCCCAATCGTTGTCCCCCATCAATCGCGTCTAGCCAAGTTGCTCATCGTCGACGCGCATCGGGTTAATGCCCACTTCGGAGTTAACACCGTGTTGAATCAACTCCGCAGGCGTTTTTGGATTATCCGTGCCCGTCAGATCATAAAGTCGATCCTTCGCCAGTGTGTGGTATGTCGCCGACGTCAGGGTGCGCCAGCGTCTCAAGTTGAGGCGCCTCTCCCGGAGTCGCGATCTACCCTGCTCGCTCCGTTCTCGGTCGCGGGTGTGGATTTCTGCGGACCGTTCTACACAAGGCTTCGCGCCGATACATTCAAGACCTACGTGGCGCTGTTTACCTGCACGGTGACTAGAGCACTCCACCTAGAAACCGTGCCTTGTATGTCGGCTCCCCAAACTCATCTCGCTCTTCGCCGTTTTCTTGCGACCTATCCAAATTGTCAAGGGTTCATCTCGGATAACGGGAGTAGTTTCGCAAAATGCTCCACCGACATCAAACGAGTGTTCAACACCGCAAAGAGGGCGGATGTGACGGAGTTTCTGCGGGGCCGGGAGATCGAGTGGACCTTCAACTGCGCTCGCTGCCCATGGAGGGGCGGAGTGTTCGAAAGAATGGTTGGTGTACTGAAATCGGCCCTGGCTAAAACCCTTGGCAGGAATCTCATTGGGTATGAAGAGTTCCGAACAGTCCTCTGCGAGCTGACTGCCACAATCAATGATCGTCCGATAACACACGTGGCCTCTGAGAGCGATGTGCCGATCGCTCTCACTCCGGCCCACTTTGTGCGGTGCGTCCCTCACGTTCCTGCGATCGCTCCCATGATCCCGATCGATTCCCTGGGGGGCGGCGAGGTAGCCTCCGGCGACGACTTACGCAAAGCCCACGCCGTGAGAACCAATTTCTTCAGGAGTATATCAGTTCGATGGCACCGCGAGTACTTGCTCCTGCTACGTTCGTCCATCGCAACTCGCGGTCACCAAGCGTCGCCCATACGTTTGGGAGACGTTTGCCTCTTACGCGACGACAATCAGCCTCGGATCCGGTGGCGCCTGGTGCGCATTCTTGAGGCTCACCCCGGCCGCGACGGAAAAACGCGTACGTACACCGTCATGTTTGAGAACAGACGTCAATCCCGCCGAGCAGCCCAGCTGCTGATCCCGTTGGAGCTAAGTATCGAAGACGAGGATGCCACAGACGCTCCGACATCAGATTGAGTCCTAAAGAATACGATTGTGTGACAACACTCCGCTGTAAATATCATTTGTGCATAGCGCTCTTAAATTAACCCTTTCCGCTCCCAGTTGCTAGTCCATCGGTTCTCGCTCATGGCAGGAAAAAACGTTAACGTTGTTTTGTGGGGAGTGTCAAAGATAGTGAAAATTCGAAACCTCCCGCGTTCGTCTCTAGATAGCTGACGAATTCGGAAATAAACAAGAAGTAGTCAGTAGCGCGAAAGATCTGCTCGTACTCATTTTCAACTCGAGAAGGAGAAAAATTCCACAGGCCGAGAGAGGTATCAAGCAGCTCTAGTTCGCCTCTATCCGATCAACAAACTACAATAAAGACCAGCATGCTCTATTAGAGCAGCACTCCGTTCCTCATCCGACAGGATATTGAAGAGCAGGACGAGATGCTCGGATAGAACGGTGCCTCAAAGCGGGGATGGAATATAGACCGGCACGCCGTGCGGACAGAATAAATACGGTATCCTCTTATCGACAATTCCTCGATGGAATTCTTCGAGGGACTCGATCCGGGATCCCATCGCTCTGTATAATCGTTGGAGCACGATGTCGAAGAGGACAGATTTCGGATAGAATGGCGGACCAAAGTCGACAAAATGACCGAGACCTCTCGATGGGATCTCAATCATGGGTTCGCGATGTGCCGCGTCGACTCGCAAAGCTCCCCCGGCTCGAGCCGTCGTCCGTACGTACGGAGCGTATTCTCTGAACTCGATTTTAACAATCATTGTCCGACCTGCCTTCCTTGGTTTCATTCTCCTTCTGTATCGCCGTTTGGGTGATGCTCATTGTCCGAGCGAAGTTATGGGATTCCTTGAAGCATTTTCTCCCGGCTGGTCTTATATTCAGACCCCGTGCTTCGCAGTGTTGTCTCAATGCGGTTGTTCCTCGAACAATCGTTATCGGAAGCATATCTCCCTACCCGGATGGGTCATACGTACGAACAGATTAGAGGGATTCGTCGTCGACGAAGTCTTTCCCCAGACGAGCTGCCTGACTCCCCATACAGTTTGGATGCGTAGATTGCCTCGCGGTGTCTCGTTTCAATTCACAAGCCTGTCGAGATTTCCTACGTTTTTGAAGTCATATACAGTTTTGACTGGTAAATTTCGCCCTACAGGCAGCACATACATTTCTAATTAACCTCAAGTTCCTTCGCCTCTCACACGTCCATTCATGTGAGCCGGTGCCGGTTCGTGCACTGGGGTGCTTTGAGTGCAAAGAACTCAGAGTACACGTCTGGTCATTTGTTCTGCCAGAGAGCGATCTGTATTTTTCCGCTATTCCCAGTCCTAGGTTTCTCTGTAGTTCTCCCGCAAGAATCCGAATCTATCGTTTGGTATAGCTGTCCGTGAGCGAGATTCAAAATAAGTATACAGACGCGCGATCATCGGAGACAAAAACAGATTTCCCACATTATTCCTCTTGTCAATCCCCCGATTTGTCACTTTGCTGGATGCGATGTGACGCGCGCATTTCTTATTCCGCTGGAGGGACCAAGAGTCGACCGACGGTCACAAGCGCGAACGACGACAACCGAGTATTGCGAAAGATGAACGAGGGAAGTATAATTCATGTGTGGGAGCTAGACGAGAGTAGTCGTCAGAGTTAGTGTGCCGGGAGGCTGGCCATACCATCTTCAATAAGCTCGAGTCGTCTGCAGATTCGCGTCATCAGACTTACCCAAGTAGAACCTAGCGTGAAAGATGGTTCCTTGCCTTCCGAGATCAGTGCTAATAACTAATAAGCAGTTCCCCCAGTACCGCAAGCCGCACACGGTGCGTGGTGCGACATGTGTAAATTGGTGGACCTTTCCGGTAGACCTTCTTCTAGCCTTGAAAATAGGACTCCTCGCTAAAGGCGAAGATGTCGGTCTTCGCTCTACCCTGTGGAGACAGGAAGGTGTGCAGTACGCGGGCAGAGCAAAACGAGAGGTTCCAGGATTCGAGGAATCCTCCAAGCACCTGGAATCTTCGGTTTTTCGTTTTTTTGCGTGACGCAGGACCTGGCTCTCTGACAGGGCCCGAGGTTCGATGTGACGTCGAAATTCCTTCGTGGGAGGCGCCCTGAATTATTTCCATGAAGACCCGCAAATCTCGATCTATCTCTTATAGGTCTATCTCTTATACCGCTTATACTTATAAGGCTTAGAATCACCACAGCATGCTGTATTAGTGCTCCTGGACGCAGAGTTTTTCGCGCTTCTTCGGGCCCGGGAAAAATCAAGGGAAAATGACTTGGACTTCAAATGATATCCAGCCGTGCCTCTCAATAAAGGGAACGAGCTGAGCTGTTAGGGGAGTCGACTGGGCTCTGATCTCATTTGACTGATCAGCTCTATTCGCGAATATCTTTGCGATGTGACGAAATTGCATGCGACTCCTGGGTCGACGAACTCTAGCACCGGACCCGGCGCGCCCGTATCTTCTCTCCGCTAGACACCAGAGAGCGCCACCGGTGTCCCTCTGGATGTGCTCGGAATACCCGACCTAGAACTCTCTCTCAGGAGGCAACCCTCGCCACTCCTGGGGTAAACAACGAGGTAAGGTTCGCAGGTCGAGTCGAACACGCACGAGACCTCACTGTTCGGGACGATACGGATCGTGGTTCACGCGGCCCTCGACAGTATTGTTGCCACGATGTTACCGACCATGTTACGCGATTCTCAAACTCACCATGAGTGCCTCATGGAGATCCATGTGAGTGAAGCTCAGAGGTCTCCCGGAAGACTTTGGACAGGAATAGTCTAGCCTGCCGATTCGGTGCTATCTCGGCGACACTCTTTAGCGCGGGGCGAACTTGTTCGGTAGATTCATCCTATCTCCCAGAAACGTATGACGGGGTCTCAAAGTGACGTCCGCCGAGCTTCGAGTCGGTATTGATCCCGATTCCGGAAATCTGATGCCATAACCGAAGAGACCCCCAAGTTCTCAACTATCGCAGAAAGATCTTACGGAAGCTTAGAAGTCTCAGTCCGTTCCGATTCGGACTCCTAGCATCAGCACGGGCTTTTGGCTTGCGTGTCAGGTGCTCAACTCGATTTTTTCTTTTGCAGAACATGCTCAATACAACTCCAACCGAGAACCTCAACCACGACTATCTCCAACAGCTTTTCCAACGACACATTGAGCGAATGAGTTGGTATCGAGCCCCTCGAATAAGGGCAATCATCTAGCGACGCGGAGATGTCTATTCGCAGTGGATAATTATCCGCTTTTGTCTCCCCTAGGATACAAGGAACGTCTTAATAATGAAACGGTTCACACCAAGATCCAGAAAGACGAGTGCCCAATCTACAGGGAAGCCCAGGCGAGTCTCGCTTCGATTCCCTTGCCAGCATCCGATGTCCACAAGGATAACATTTTGAAACAATTTTTTGTTCTCCGGCACAGGCCAAGTGGGAGGAAACTATCAAGGAGCGCCTACAGGGTTTGAGTGATGTTTCGGGATATCCCACCACAAAACCGGTAAGTCGATATCCTTCGTAGATCCTCAATCCTCGGCCTACAGCCCACACCGGATGCGGATGCGCTCCTGAGATGACGGCAACGCTGGAAATTTCATGAATCGCCGGTCGAGGACTTGTAATGGCTCCGCTGTTCAAGTTGATGACCCCCATACTACGCGGCGAGCTCTTCACGTAACGGAGCTTCGCTTGACCACTCGAGCGCAGAAAATCGTTTCATAATTCCTCCTGTTCCCGGATTGTCGTCACGGAACCTCCCGATCGGCGAATCGCGCTCGGCAGCTTCGTGCTTGGAAGCCGCATCGCTTGTTTTCCTCGAAAGCCAAATTTGAGTTCGTGCGTCGTGTCCTCGGCATGCGGATGCGGATCAAATTATCGAAATCGTCGAAGGGGTCCATGACGGGAGCGGGGCTCGGCAGGTCGGGACATGAGGCGCCGACCTGCCCTGGGATGTTCCTGTATCGGATCTCCGGCACGAATTCCAAAACACCGCGGACTACGCCGCTTTTAGACCGTGGGCTCGATAACTTCTCTTCTGTACTTTTTGTCAATTGCAGAGGGAGAGTACCTCGGTGGAAAAATACAGTATCAGCGCCTTGTGGGATAAGCATTGCGAATTTGGTGAGTCATTCTCCGACTGTATCTCTCGAAGGACTTCTGTCCGCGTATACGCTCAGGAACCGAATAACTCGCTACTCCGAGAGTATTCCTGATTTCGTGGAGTCTCGTTCCCGTGTTCCTGACCGGACTAATCTGCGATGGATATTTTCGCAATAACGAGGCATGTGCTCCTGGGCAACTCGAGCGAATACTCGGTTCGGATAACGATCATCACATGGTCCGGGCTGCTTCATCTCCGGGCTTTTCGTGTACCCCGAATGTTCTTGAACGATCTGATTCATGTAGCCCGGAAGGGTAGGTCGATCTCTGGAGTCCGTTCGGTCCGACAGCTCCGCTAGTCATGTCCTACTGTGACTCCCCATTCCATACCTATCCGCGGCTGGTAGCTCGTTTGTAATGGTCTCCCCATGAGCCTCGGTCAGTGACAAGCTCGTTTCAGAGCGTCATGTCCGAAATCAGCCCCTCAGGCGGACGTATCGCAGCATTTCGCCGGGTATCGCGCCGGCCGCACGTGACATGAAGTTCTCATCACAGAACAATATGCCGTTAGGGAAGAGGCAAGATAATGTCGATTCAGGGCTCCACAATCGTATCGAGTACAGGTGTCATCTGATGGAATGGGAGGACTTCTCGAAATACGATTTCGCAATACGTGTCTCTCTTGAGTGTTCCGCGACGTCCACGGCCGCCATAGACCTCGATGAACTCACTCGGAAGGGTTCCCGGAAACATTTGCGGCCGAACACTTCAACGGTTCTCCAGTCGCGAGTCTTACCGAAAGGTCTTTTGACTGACTGAGACCACGGGTTGCCTCCGTCCCCGACGAGTGGCTTATTGGCCTCAGCAGAAAGACGAATTTCGCTCACCAATGGGTAATTAACGCGACTGTGTCAATCGAGACGGCTCTCCGCAATCACGAAGTTTATCGATTGCTTAACGTACGGCTTCGGTGGCACGATTCAAGGTCATGTGGGGGCTTATTGCGCTAAACAGCCTCATGATCACGTCGATACGTGCATGGTCTCGCTCGAAAACTTTTCATTTCGCCGCAGCGAGTGTTGTTATAATGGAGTGATCGCTGGATTCCCGACGGCGAGTTCCATACGACTCCGATAGGGCTCCTTTCGAAACTTCGCGACCGTAGTTGGATAGAGACAAAAACGTGAAATGTTGAGTTGAACGACCAACTTGGCTCTGGCGTCGTCCAGCACGATAGTCGGTACAGCAATTACGTTGACCACATCGTACCGATACGGTCTGGTAAATGTGCCGTGGAGTACGGTCGGAAATGACCACAAGGCGATACAGGCTGCGTTTGAAGGCTGGCGGAGAATTTCCGTTGTATGGTCCATGATCGACCTTCCTGTGCGTACGCACTGCGTCGGAGAGCGCGAGTGAAGTTTAATATACGTCGTCGCTTCGGTCCTCGTAAAATTAGACTTGATATGACAGAGCGTCGCGGAGACCACTATTCTGAGTCGACTCACGGAGAAAATTTGCATTCGCCTTGACGCTAAGTAAGCGTCAGCGCTCTCATGCGCACCGGAGCGCAATTCCAAAACTCTTCCGAAATTCTCCAGCTGATGACCGCCCGTCGGACCCGGCGTATGTTCGGCGTAATTCAACAAGCCACTCGTTTCCCGATTCCCTGTCAGCTCGAGACCAATAGTTCAGCGCGAATCGAGAGTCACCTCACGTTTCCCGGAATCGTGGCCATCGTTTCAGAATTCCGATAACTTGTAACATACGAGAGCTCAACGAAAATGAGGATTCACTGACGCGCCCTCTCGTTGACCGCAACATGGCATGAATACTGGATCCAGCGCTCGCTCCTACGACTGTGAAAACTCCATTACAGATATAAACTCCATCGGACACTTCATTTCGGCTGAAGAGCTACGACCGCTGATCAAACCCCTGTGAGTCTCTTTCCCGATAAGTTTGTCTCCTTATTCTAGAATCCTGCGTGGATGTACATGGAGGGAATCCGCCTAATTTCTTCCGCAGGCAAAATCAACAGAAAGCTCTGGATGTGAATGAACTCCTGGACCAATTCAGACCGCTTCTGACTGCCACAATCCTAGACGAAGACGAAGGACATGTCTTAGCGAGCTGCAGTTACGATCGTGTGCGGAATCTCCTGCAGACCAGAGGATGCAGCAACGAGAACAGACTTAGGCTATGGGGCCTCGTTCTCGGACTCTCGAGCGCAGCTGACGTAAGTCTGGCCTCTCCCTTGGAGGGACAAGTTGTTCGTTGCGCTTTCGAGTCCCGAAAGTCTCACATGATGCATGATGGGATCTCTCGTAGTTCTCTTTCATTCCCATCAAAGCCATCAATCGTTTGTTCGCCGTAAGAGCATGAGCTAAGGGCATCTGATTAGGCTCGGCCGACCTTGAAACGTATCCATGACGGAACACCCTTGCGTAAGGCCCGGTGCTACCAAGGTCGCACTTGAGCGCATTTCGAGAGACCTTCCCCGCAAGTTGCGTGAGAGGGACCCGGCTATTTTCGAAACCATGAACGATTGACATGGATTGGCCGTCCGATCGATTTGGCTTCCACTTAGTGCTGGAGCGAAACTGTCCGGCTCTTTTTCTCCAAATGACATGGTTCTGCTCCGTGAAATGCCAAAGTTGTTTAAATGCCACGCCCCGACACCGCCCCATGCTGATGAAAGGCTACTCGCTCGAAGCTGAACATCAATTTGACACTAGTTTCTGGATCAGCTGCACTGTCGCGATTCATGGTCAGAGAATGCCCTCTGTGGCAGGATATAAGCTCCACGTACTTTTTAGATCACTCTGTATTCTATTGAAAGAGAGGGAGAGAGAGATCAAGTTCACCCAGCCGCGGACGGGCAGACGAGACAGATGAGATTAGGGGTACGCTCACTCCTTCGGACACGCCCGGAACGCTCGTGTACGCCATGCCGGCTCTCTCAAGGTCATCATGCCGACTGCTGTTTCCGTGAAAACCTCAGCCGTTCGCTTGACCCCGTGCTAGCTTGCCCCGAACGAGCACGAGACGCATTGATTCGATTAGTGAGTCGGTCCTGCATACGCGGATCGCGTTGTCTCTGCCTGCACGCCGATCATTCATCTGACGGAACCGGGCTCTCAGCAGATTGTGCTCAAACGTTGGGAGAAATGTCCATGCTATCGTCGATTCTGAACTCTCATATACCGTGAAATTCCCCATTGGAGCCCACTACCTGCCAGAAGCCCCGCTCCAACACTAGTCCCCAACCCGGCGACGGTTTGAATATAGGTATGAAAGCCCTCTCCAATGCGAGCCCCTTTTCCCATACAAGCCTTCCGAAATCAGAATATGTGAAGCGCAGACGGTACGGAGAGTGAGTTTTGAATCTGAAGCTCCCCGCCCGACGAATGCTGCAGACTTCAGTGCGCTCGGTGACGTCTCGCGATTCCACATCAGTCGCTCATAATTCGGTCAACGACATTCTCAACGACTGCGAGGATGCCTTTGCAAGGATCCATTCACGTAATCGATGCTCCAACCCATTTTCTTAATTTTCGGCTTCGCAAAGCCGAAGCTGGGGTATAAGAACCCCTCTTCGCTCCTCCCCGAGCGGCTGTCAGACGATACGGAAGCCCAGTCTAGAATCGGGGACTTGACGGTATATGTATTTGCACTGTCTGGGTATATACACACGTAAATTCTACCCAGTCATTTCATTCGTAACGACAGTTTCCGATGGCCTTACCCGTATCGGGAGATCGAAATCCGAGCTCATCCATGAACTCAAGGGGACACATCGAGTCGTATAGAGAATATAACCATATTCCGTCGTCAGTGATGAATCGTGACTCTTGATTCACGATATATCTATTTTCGACCTCCGGAAGAGCCTCAATCTCAAAGAAACTGCATCGGCGACTTCGACAGGTGCAGGGACAGGCCGAACTCCAATGGCGATGAACTTCTGTTCCCGAAAACTCGCCCGCGCATAGAGGATAACATCGCAGTACCTTCCCGCCATCGAGGGCCATCCTTACGGTTGGCGTGTCACCATCAGAATCACGTGCGGCAGGCACATTCGGTGCCCCGCGGTATATCCTAGACGCCCTGCGAGTCACGATCCTGACATTCCGAGTCGAGCTGAGCCATTGATGGAAATTGGGTTGGACTCTTTCCGAGCCCGCGCCCCTTGATGGCCTTGAATGGCTCGACCCGAGCCTAGATGAATGGACTCGGCTGTCAGCGCAGACGTTTGAATTGATAAATTCGGAGCGCAACGATGGGCGGAGCATAAAAGAAAGATAATGGCGAGAAATCCGATTTTTGAAATTCCTTCCAGAACGAGGTTCGTTACGAGTACGTGAGGAGGCTTGTCCTGGATTATGACTGTCTTATCGACAAATTCCTCTTCAAGGTGAGTCGGACTCGAATCGAAGTGCATTCATCGGGACTGCTGCAGCCGAATAACTTGATGAATCGTTCCTTTAGCCTTTTATCCATCTATGCTTAATGGCTTGATGTGACTGCACTAACACGAGTCGGCTCCATATGCCCGCTACCACAATCCCTAAATCTGACAATCATTATTCTGCCTATACAGGTCAAGTGACCTCAATGATTGCGATTCCGTTGTCCACAGACGTGATTCGTTCTGTTCGACATCAGGACAGTAGGAGTGGATCGGATGAAGCGAGTCAGGCTAATATAAACGTTCGTATAGTCAGCTCACGAATATTCGTCTTTCCAGGACATCCGCACCAGAGCGTCGAACGACGATCAGTTCTTCGTTTTTGAAGAACAGGTCTTCCAAATCCTTCTGGCGTTCCAACGGGAAACTCTCTCGGAAGACCTCACAACGTTCTCGTCCTCGATGATTGTCCCGAATGTCATCCTAGCAGCCCCTTCGGCCCTCGGTGCGTGAACATGTCGCATCCCCCTCGGAGACATCCGACTTCAAAATGATGTGTTCATCTCTGAGCGCTTGAATCTATGTATAGCTGCGAATCCATAAATCCCCCGCCGTTTATTTCCAGTGGCTCCCGTATGTTTCGTTACATCTTCGATGCCTGACGCTTTCCACATATTCAGCACACTCGCCAAGAGATACTTTGCCTACCTAACGCGTCTGACCTCAAATCGCAACGGGATCGTGAATCTTTTTCATGTTTTCAACTCGATCATATCACTCTTGAAACCGAAACTTTTCGAGCATTTACTGCCGATCACTGTGTAAGTAAGAACTGAAGCTCCGAGGAGACCAGCCCCCTCGCCCATGTGATTCGTGGTCCTGCGTCGGGCTCCGGATACTGAACGCAAGGGAAGCGAACCTCACCGCCTGCTTCTTGCAGAGAAGAAGAAATTCTGGACATTCTCCTCAGTGCCTTCGCTGGACCATTGGCAGCCGATCAAGTCCTTATTCTGTGGGACACAATGATCGGTTTCGATTCTACTCTGGTTCTCGCACTGCTTGCAGTCGGAGTCGTTCTCACCAGGCAGAAAGCCCTAGAGGCTTGCGACAACAGACCGAAATTGAGGGTAAATCTTGCATCGATGGGAAGACAGTGGGGAGGAGGCCTGCCGAAGAAATTTAGGATTCACTTCGACTTGCTCCTCTGGAAGGAGCGGAACCTAATAATGCGTTGAATCGATGTGCGGCGCCCCGTCTTCTCTAGGTGTGTGCTGGAGAGGGTAACCGGATTCAATCCATTCACAGGAACTGCTGCAGAACCTCCGTGACGTCCAGGTGATACCTACGCTGAAATTCGTCTTGGGCCAGTTGGAAATGCTGGGCAGCACGATGAATTCACGTTTTCTTGACTCTTCTTGATGACTTCGCGTGCCAAGACTCTTCGAGGCCTTTAATTTCCGTGTCAAACCCGAGTACTTATATGTCGAATAAAGTTGAGCCGCTCTCAATCGATTGGATTGAGAATGGCGCGTGCACTCTGGACGAGAATTTCGAACTAGCTCACTGGAGGCCTTTTGTTCCGTAAGTTGGATTATCGATTTTCCCTCCACCTGACTGAGGCTTTCTCCGGGACTCGAGCCTGCAGATTCTGTTTTCCCATGATAGGGACTTGTCGAGATAAAGAAAATAACTTCTCGAAGGTTTTGTCGAGACAAGCTATTTTTGTCGTGAAAACGTCTTTACCCAGGATTGAGTGACCTGTTCTATGCACCTCGTCATCCAAATAGTCATAAGTCCATGAGATGTCGCGATTCGCGGTCTAACATCCCATTTTCGATCCTCATTTACCCAGGCGGCAACCTAATTCCTGTATCGAAAGACGAATTTCCGGGATTCCACTCTGAACGAGATCCTATTGCGAAGCGCTATATATAAATGCTCTATGATTTTGGTTTTTCTGCATACCCCTCGATTAAGCTCGGAATCTGATAAATAATGGTGAATTCTAGCCTGGGATTTTATATGAAGAATTCCATATACGGGGGTAGAAAGAGGGGAAACGGGAGAAATGCAGTTGGTCTCCTTGATTATTATTGAGGCGAGGTTCTCTAGATGTTCCATCTAACTCTTCAATTCCGAAGCTACCCCAAGGCGAAATTCTTCGATCGGCTGAATAAGTAGAAGTATGTCTGAAAACGATGTCCTCGAGTCTACCGCATGGTAATCGGAACGTTCCTAATCCGAGCGGAACGTTGGTCTATCATGAGATGCTGCTTCATCAATAGAACATTGCTATATCAATCCAAAGAATATCAACGTCATTCTCATACGGGTTCGCGGCTTGCGCGACAATTTCGTCTATCTACGACCTTCCAATCTGGGAGCGAGCTCATACCACGGCACATCACGAAAGTGACTGTACGAAAAGCTATTGCTCGTCCGGTTCCAACAATGTAGAATCCTCGAAAAACGATGTCTCCAGACAAGTTTCTCATGTAAAACGTTGGAGCATCTTTTGTGGATTCGTCCCCTTATTCTGATCGGACTGATTGTCGCGCTTTCCGTCGCTTGCGCCAACACCATCGACGGAAGGATGCGGCCAAAACAAGCAAGTCTCCGACGGCAAAAGCAACGCGCAATAGCTTCGGCAAAATCCGTAAACTCCCGTGTTAGGCGACCCAGATTATCAACCCAACCCACTTTGGGTGAGGGGAACAACCGAGCCGAGTGTCTAGACATTTACGAACGCTCATTGGACACTGCGGGAGATGTTTTAATGGTTTATTTGGATCGGATGGTATCATATTATGTAATATGTTACATCTGTAAGTCTCCAGAACACATAGGCACCCTCGAAGCAACCTATCGCGTATCTTCGGAAAAAAACTACTCCAGGACGTCGAAATTAATCTAGCCTATGCAATCGAATAACCAGATGGCTTATCCGAACAATTTTGCCCAAATCCTAAATCAAAATATTCCTATTAGAGGAGCCGAAAATCCCTTTGACCGGAAATCCGTAGGGTCAGCAGCTCTCAGGTCCCGTCTCCATAGATGATCGGAACGATCACTGTTGCGGATGGAATACGCGACTGCGCACGAGAAGATCGAGCGCCCGATTTTATTTCAGGAGTGTGCTCCTCCGGTATTGCATCAAGCAAGAACCGCGAGCGTGCACCGAGCAGCAACCTGTCTTGATGGCTTTTATCTCCCCCCGCCGGTCAGTGCCTTTATCGGCTTCGTGACGGCCGACACAAGCATGTTAACGGCGCCTTTGACGAAATTGACCATACTTGAGACCAGGTCGGAGAGGAACCCGAGTCCGAATCCACCCTTGTTACCATTTTGAGGAGCAGCTGCAACAAAGGATACGAACCGCTAGATACGAGCTTCTCCCGAGCTTGGAAATCAGAGGGACGACAGTCAAACCAGCGTGAAGGGGAATACTTGCCGCTCTGCGTCGTCATCTTGCGCAGCCACTTACAATAAATTAGTCTTCACTTTTGACTACGAGATATGGTGCTTCCATGGTGACTGGCATCCATGCCGTTCGTACGGCTGTACGGTGACCGTACCGTCACGAGCCGTACATATGTACGGACCAACCTCGAACGGAAAAATGTACGGAACTTTCTCAGTCCAGAAGGCGGGTCGTCTCATTGAGATGGACAAAGCTCCACGATCCACGACAAGGATTGGTGCCTATCTTCATGGACCGTTTCGAGAGCTTACCGGGAGTCTCGGTGAAGGGCCCGATGATTCGGAACCGACCGGGACGAATCTCAAATCCCGATACTCCAGCGAGCAGCGAGCCATGTGCTGCTAGCAAACACTCCCAGAGATGAGGATCTACAAATGATGATTTGGGCAAGCACATCCTTCCCGAAGATTATTTTGTGAAGAGCAAGCCTTGCCTTTGCGAGGAAGACCAAGCCAAGGCAACACTGAGATAACCATCTGACGGCGCCGTCTAGGCTTGCTTCAAGGTGAGAACAACAATTGTAAACAAAAATCAGATGGACATAAGCGGGCGCGGGCGAGCGGCGGGGGAGAGCTTCAAACTCACGGTAGACCGGATGTCACAGCGCAACCATAGAGCTCGAAGTACACCGGCCCCAAGCCCCAGCGCACGTGATTGGATTGACTCTTGGTGAACACAGGGCAGAGGTGAGGAAAAAAAACAGGCGGAGGTCTTGCGACTTGCTTGCCTTAACATTAACATGTTGATAAATCGACATACGTTGTCATTCGTCATTGTCGTCATTCATCATTCATGTGGCTCCAGATACATGGACAATTTCTTATCAAGACTACATACCGTACACCTCGAATAATATAAGCCCTGTTAAGAATAGTAGCCCCCCTCCCCGCTCGGGAGCGGGGAGTCGGCGAGGCACTCGAAAAAATAGAAGCCCGGGCTTGTGATGATGGAAGATTTACGGTGTGTTGGTATACCTACATTCATTGTATTTTGTATATAATACAAATGCTTCAGCAGCTCATAAGATCAATTCGATTTCCGTGTCGCAATTTGCGGAATCCACTGATTTGAAATGTCGTGAATCCGTGCCACGGAAACTCTGGCCCGGTGATCCGCGCAGCCGCGGCGCCGCGTCGGCGCGGGCCGTCCGTTCCGGACTTGTTTACATCCGTTCGAGTAACGGAATTTTTCGCACCAACGATCCGCGTCCGAGGTCCGAGCTGAACATTGGACATCTAATCTGGCCTTGAGTTTTCCGAGAATATCGGGTTTCTTTGAAGATATTGTGCGAAAGTTCTGTCGCATAGATCCCCTCATGGATAATTTCGTCGAACCTCCAGTAAACTATCGCGAATCGGAGCGAACTCCGTCTTCGCCCTCCGAATCCGAATCAAGGTCAGTGATAGTGATGGAAGGCGAAGATCAAATCCGTGCCCGAGGAAAAACCGTTCCATCAAAGTAAGTTGCGTTCGCCTTTGTAAGACGCCCGCCACTGCGATTATCATGAATTTATGACGATCCTCTTGGTATTGGTAATTGGTAAGGCCTAGCGAACCTCAACCTCAAACCTCAACCCTCATCCCTCATTCCGGCGCGCAGGTGGCCCGCCCAATCTGGGATGCTGGAAGACGATCTAGAAGAAGGAGAGAGTCGCCGATCGCGTGGTGAGTTACTCGAAGCTCGCAGCTCGTAGTCCCGCCCGTAAGCCTGCAGACTTGCAGACTGATCATTCAGCAAGGAGGTTCCCGAGCATTCCGCATGGTAGCTATTGATTTGAAATTTAAGCCCGTTGTCCGGATCCAAGTCCCAGACGCGAATCGGAGCAGGAAAGAGATTCAGAATCCGATGGATACCTCCTCTCTAACCGTGAGTCCCTGAGGGCGACAGATAATCCGCTGATAATACTTTCTTATCGGGTAAACATCCGCGTTCACTTATCACCTCTTCGACTATGTTACCTTCCAGTATCTTAAGATTCGGAGTTAGATCCGGACGAGGGTCGATTCAGGAATGGTGAGTCTCTCTGCCGCGCTTCTCCATTGACCGCCCTTCTCGATAGAATCATACATATTGAAGGCTTCATTTCAGGCTCAGTTGGACTCCTCAGCGACTCCACATTGCATGACTCTGCACACGAGGCCGATGGCAGTCGATCTCCCGGCAAGTTCCACAATTTAGACATGGAACTCGCGAGAGGATTAGATACGCGATTCTCATCAGCTTGGATCTTTACAGCATTTGAAGTTTGCTCTCTGGAGGTCACTCAAAGCCCGAATCTTGTCAGAATGAAGGTTTGCAAGAAGACTAGAAACGGTGAGTCCCCAGATTCGGATAGCAGCCAGGGTTCGGATAATGGGTCCGAAATGTCACCTGGATACATTTATACTGTTATACACTATGTTTCGCTCATTGGGAATACCTGATAATGGGACCAAACGCTTTCTCGGACCAAAATGCGACTCCCCGTTTCCTATGCAGCGGGAATCGGTCCGGATTATCCGACCAATAGTCCGCTCCTTCGAGTCTTCCTGATTCCTTGCATAATTTTCAAAGGGGAACAGGTTTCACTCAGAGATCTCCCGAACGTCGCTGACGACGCGGCGTCTACTCTTCGGCCGAGCAGCGCGACGCGTCCCACCATTACATGCACGATGGCACACTGTGCGAAAGCGGGCTGTACAATCGTTGCGCTGCTCGAGAGAAGAGTGGAAACCGTTATATATTTACTGGATGGTGTTCTCCGAGATATACACAAGATGGCCGCCCCTTAGAACTTTAGACTCTGGAGCTTTCGAACAATTGATTCATTTAGGGAAATGACGGTATATCGAATCAAGCCTTCGAATCTTCCCCGAGTT